TATATAATTTTTAATAATTTTAAAGATAGTAGCTAAAAAATAAACCAAAATATTAATACAGATTCGCGCGTAACGCGAATTATATACCTAGTTTAAATAAAAAACAAATATATATATAAAACAAAATTGGCGTTTTCTTTAGGAACATTCAACCAATAGTTTTAAATTTGTTGATCCTTTAATAATTGTTGCTCTAAGACAATTTATATTTCTATTTATCAATTTTAAACTTTTCTTTTACGATCATTAGTACTGCACACACATTTAAATCACACCAATCTATACTATTAGAAAACACTTAAGCTGTAAGAGTTGATTTGACAAAAAGAGAAGAGAGACGTTACTGTATTTTAGTAAAATAAATAAAATATTTTAATTAACTGAATTAAAACTAAATAAATTATAAAATTCTAATATAAATACACTAAATTATAGTATTAAATTTAATAAATTTAAATTAATAGAAATGCTAACTATTATGATTTTAATTTTCTTATATATATATTTATATTACATATTTAATAAAATATGAATACAATTTTTTTATATAATATAATTTTTTATAGACAAAAAAAAAGAATATGATAATAGTGTTGGTTTAGAGATTCGTCATACTTTTTGAAAATATGAGGATATAAAATATTATTCTATGTAGAGAGAGCTCTTACCCTCACTCTCACAATGGTCAATTTATCATATTTCCATCTTTACCAAACATCAAACGGATATTACGATTCCTGGACAAGAGGTATCCAAACCATAAACACCTCCATATATCTACTTTCTTGAAATATTGTTTCCAGTAGAGCGTAGTCTAACTTGAGCGTTGAAATTATATTTTTACGAGGGCGCAGGACTCAGTCAGACTTCCAAAAACCCCCTTCTGGTTCTCCCTGACGCCTGTCATACTCGTTTGCCAGTGTACGCAGGACCCAGTCAGACTTTCACTCCAGAGACTCATACCGCTCATTCCCCCAGAGAATGAAACTCAGACACCCAGCTCCGCTATCCAGACGATCACACACACACACTTCATGTAAGCATTCTATAATTTGCTCCCGAATAATTCACGCTAGATAGAGGGGGGAAGACTGACAAACAATCCCACGAAGAAAATAGTCAACAGCGTTACCAGGCAACCAAACGTTGGTGCAGCCTGAAACCTATAACAGCCAAAAAGGTAAAGCCTTCCGAAAATACCGTGCGGCGGAAGCCAGAAGAAAAAATAGAGCGGAGAGGAGACCCTTGTTCCAGGATCCAGCTGGACCGCCAACTCAAGCTTTGGTCTTCGAAGTCAGGCCGGCCCGAGAGTCATTGCCCCGCAGATGTCAGGCGAGACAAGGCCGGCCCTCAACGAAGCCAAAAGCTCCAACCGGCAAGTGCGCCTGTGCTGCACCATGCATCACTCAGTCAAAGCAAAGGCCCCTTATCGCAACAAAAAGTCACGAGCCGGGGGTGAAGAAAGCTTTGTCTCTTGCACAAAACTAAGTGTCGGGGGCAAGGAAATCCCGTGGGATCGATTCAGACGTTTGTCTTCTTCCCGAAACCACAATATGCTTAAAGCGTGCGCGAGTGTTAAGTTAATTCTAAAATGCAGCCGAGGACATTTCTGATATATGCCTGAACGTTTGAAGAATAATTTAAGTCCGAGGGAAGTTACTAAAGGTGCCCGTCAAATATTCTGGAGAACCAGCATGGTAAAGAAACAAAGAAAGCAATAGAAAAAATTAAGTTTTATTCATATGGTGAATCCCAGAGGGACAGGGATCACAACAAGGCTCCTACAAGAAGATTCAAAGGACAGTATCCGCTAGCAGCAAATGTGCTATCAGGGGTCAACTCTGAGTTGGAGGGAAAGCAGAGAAGAGGAGGGAGGACAGTGCAGACAGGCTCGGTGCTCCATCCACACAGTGTTATATTCCTCATGGCCCGCCCAGGAAAAGCTGAGGAGGACACGGGAGATCATCCCACCCACTACCACGTTCTTTATGATCAGAACTAGATCATGTCTGACGCCCCGATCCTTCTCATATTTGCCTGACAGGGTCATCCTCGAGCTCCAAAGTCTGGATGTGCGCCCCCATAAGCTTTAAAGTCTGGATGTGCGCCCGGAGTTCATATAGCTCGTCTTGCAGCTCTGTGTTAGCTGCTCAGAGATCTGCCATCAGAGTTGTACTCTCCCTCAAACTGTCTGAAAGATCCGGCTCTTCTCCCCGCCGTTCACCACTACCACCCGACGTTATTCCCAGTGGACGCACCATCACAAGCAGCCCTCACCGCCCGGGCTGCCCAGCTAGAGACCGAAATCAGGCGCTCCTTGAGGGTCTAAATCTCTCCCATGATAGTATACACTCAGAAGCGCTCCACACGTAAGCGCTCTTCAAGGAATGGAATCCCAGAGCCCGACCGGGAAACCAAAGGAACCTCCCCAGTGCCAAAAGAGCCATTGCCCGAAGTGCCCCGAGAACCCGCCCTAGGATGCACTCGTCACATTTCCTCCAGGACTCTTCTCCCGCTCATGTGCACACATGAGAGAGTTTCGGAGATACGCCACCGATCCGATCACTTTCGCCAGATTGTCGATAGTTAGGTCAGCAGAGTGAGTATAATTGTCGCACTGAGACGCCGCAGCTCCCACGGATGGAGCGCCAAACCCCAAATCCAATAGCAAGGGACCCGAGAAAGCCAGGGAACCTTCGGGAAGACGCGGCCGCGGAGCGAGGTCATGAGAAATTATTGGCACCAGCAAGAGGCTCATGTCTCGATCAATGAGAACATTTGTGACTGGTACTACCTCAAGATTTGGACGAAACACTCTTGAGCTGAGAAGAACCTTCATAAAGCTGGAGTCGAGCCGAAAACAACCGACGCCTAGCTAGTCGGGCTTAGGCATCGAAAGAAGCAAATTCCTCATCGACATGGTCGACAAAGCTCAGAAAATATCGAAAAACTGATCACAAGGAAGAGGAAGAGAGAGCATGGTCGAGGTACGCTTTGAAGAAGAAGTGAGGGAAGTGATCCCACTCTCCGCGTATTTGTGGGATTGACAAGAGACGAGGAGACAATTGTAAGTCTCGTGTAATGGCGAAAGGCGATAACCAATGGACGAGTTTGCAATTATCTTCGTCTCGAGCCGTGCATTGAAGCAACATCTCTTTCATGGAACAGCTGACGTGATATTTTTTGATTATTTTGCTGGAACACCGAAAGGATCGACTCCCCGACTCAGTTCCAATCAGTAGAGAAGTGAGAGGCAACTTTTGGGCCCACTTTACCACATCCAACCATGAGCCGACACATCAGCAGTAAGCTTTACCCAAGCACTAAATTCTCCGAGTAGATCTACTCAACAACCTCCTAGCAGACTGTTCCCGGACAGTTGGCGAGCTTCCCAAGCTCGAAGGCATGCTGCACCAGACCAGCTGCTTCCTCTATTTGCCGCATTGATGAGATGGGTCATGAGAGAAGGTGTATAAAAAGAAGGTCAAGGTCAAAGAAGAATAGGATGGCCACATCCCGGGCCTAACACCGGTTATAGAGAGATAATACATCATAGAAGAGAGATAAAGAGAGGATGAGAAAAGACCGCTGATCTCAACCTCGCCAGAACTCGCCCTGGCCCCTGTCATACAACAAGACTGAAGAGTGTATGCACATCGTCTCCCGGAATGCCTTCTCCTTCCTCTACACCTCTGCTTTAACACCCATATTGAGAGAGCTCCTACCCCACTCTCACAATGGTCCATTTATCATACTTCCAATCTTACCAAACTTCAGACAGACATCACGATCTTCGGACGAGGTATCCAAACCATAAACATCTCCATATATCTACCCTTCTGAAATCCTGATTCTAGTAGGGTGTATTCTAAATTGAGCATCAAAAAAATTTCGGAAGAGAAGCTCCCTCCAGAGGCCATCTTACTCAATTGCCAGTGTATGCAGGCCCCAGTCAGATTTTTGCTTCAGAGCAGTATATCGTTCATCCCCGCAGAGGACGAAACTCAGGAATCCAGCTTCGCTACACGAACGATCACATATCCTTTATAAACATTTTGCAGCTTGCTCCCGAATAAAAAGATTATCCAATAAAATAGTAAAAATTTTATATATAAATAATGTTGAAAATGTGATATATTATTATTTTTAAAAATTATAAAAATTTATGAAAATAGCTAATAATAACATCTAAAAGAGTTTAAATAAATATATTATTAAAAATAAAATTTAAAATTTAAAATAGTTAAAAAAATTAGAAAATAATTAATTTTTATTGAAGATTTTAAAAATATTTTTTTCAAACCATTTTTTACTATGTAAAACGAATAAAGTATTTATTAATTATTCTTTTATAATGTTAATAGAACTATATATTTGTATATAAGTTTTTTAATTTTTCTATATTGTTGTTTTCTATAATTTATATAACTTATGTTATCATCTCATCTCATCTCATCTTATCTCTTTAACTTATCTCTTTTCGTTTTTGAAATAAAACAAAAATTTATATATATATATATATATCAAAACTTTAAAATCAGAAAATAGTACGATAAATAATCAGATAAAAAAATAAATTAGAATAAAATAAGACAAAATAAAATAAATAAAAATAAAATAAAATAAAAATAAATTTCTACAGTTTTGATTTTTTGTAAAACTTTCAAAAATTATTTCTAACATCTAAATATTATTATTCACTTATTTCTAAATCATACATACATAAATATATATATTTGTTTCTAAAAAATCTCAACTATACATCATAAAAATGTATACTACAAAAAAAAGTTATTTTCTTTTGACATATAAAAATATTTGTATATGTGAATATAAATATTAATTGCACAAAAATCAAAGTTGCATGCGAACTTTTTATATATATATTTTACTAACCTTGATTACAATTCAATTTTAATTTTAATCATTAGATAACTTATATTTTTGTAAACAAAACTTTATCTAATCTAAAAGATTAAACTTTACTAATACATAATCAGCCAAGAATGAAAGTTATTTTGTCCTTCTAAATTCGCAATAGTTGTATTATTATTAATATGCCTTTAACGAGCAAATTAATCCTTAGTTTTATCAAACAACGTATATATTTTTACAATATTTCTTACATTATTGAACATAAATAACTCCAGAAGTTATAGAGAGGATAAGTTCACGATTTTCAAATCTCGATTATTTGTCTCGAGTCTCGATTATTTGTCTTGAGTTTCTATGTCATCCTCTAGTTTCACCACCTTGGACATGAATGAAACCGGGGTTTTTGGGTTCTCATTTACGATCAACTTAAAAACATCTGGTTTTGAGTAATGTCCAACCACATCAAAGTATAACTTAGCTTTTGCGATATCACCAAAATCTGGATTAGAATTAGAAAAGAACGTTATCAATAGAATTAGATAAAAACGATAGCAGTTTCTACACTAAAAGCATAAGCTGAATATAGAAGAATAGTGTATATACCAAGATCAGCTGTTATGAGACATTCTGATTCAAAGTTTGGTCCTGCAAGAACTTTTCCTAATGGTGAAATAATAACACTACCACCTTGGGAGACAATAGCATCATGTTCTTTGTATTCGACCCCATCGGTAACCAGGTAATCAGGATGTTCAGGAAAATTTTTACGCTCACAAAACTGGCAAGCCGACAACACAAAACATCCACCCTCAAGTGCAATGTGAAGCATGGACGATTGCCATTCCTTCCAACCATCAGCAGTAGGTGCACAATAAATCTCAACGCCTGTCAAAATGGTCAAAAAATTCTATAATTAAAAGCTAAATGATACAATTTGATATATACTCATAGTGGTCACATGTGTATTAGAAACCTTGAATTCTGACATGGTGTTAGGATCCAGATGACCCAAATATATTTTTAACAAGTCTAGTAAAAGTTCAATTCAAGAAAGACTAAAAGAACCGCAATCACGATAAAACATATTAGAAATCTCACATTGACAACAATTGAGGACCTAATCTTATTATATAAGATATAATCACTTTATTTATTGTGAACTAGTTTTGAATTAAGAGCTTGTGGACTTAAAAAAAAACTATGAGATAAGCAAACCACTTGTAAAAATTATGCGTATAGTAACGAAGTAGCTACAAATTTTTCATGGCTATTTAGAAAAATCTATGAAATGCATTAAAAAAATCAAAATGAAAAAAGCTAAGAAAAACCAACATAGCCAAATAAAAATTAGTCATGAAGCTATAAACTAAAAAAAATAGGGATTTTTCTGTAATTATATTCTTGACTAATTATTTTATGTAGTTTTTTGAATTTTTCGTACCTATATGCATAATTTTTATTAACGAACATTTTTGAATTCAGAACTAACCTTTTGCATACAATGCAGTTCTGTAGAGAGGCATCCTATTTTCCCAGCAAATTGCAGCACCAAGTTTGCCAATGGGAGTGTCGTAAACAGCAATGGTTGATCCATCCCCGAAACCCCATATGCATCGTTCAAAAGTTGTCGGCATCACTTTACGATGTTTACCCAAGAACCGACCTTCAGAACTAAAAAAAAGAGCTGTGCAGTACAGTGTATACCCATCCTTCTCTATAGCCCCCATTACAAGGTACACACTGTTTTTCCTAGCCACCTCCGCTAGTTTTTCTACTTCAGGACCTATTAGGTTCATCACAAAACAAAACAAAACAAAACAAATCCGCGAGAAAGAGTTATTTGTGGCTTTTGCTTGTTGTGTTGCTCAGTATCATGCTTTTTCGATACATTTTTTTTTCACTTTTCTAAGATAGGATTTACTAATTTTTAAATTTTAAATTTTAATTTACACATTTTTATTTTAAAGGCACTTAAAAGTTTTTATTAAACATTAAGATATGGTTTTAATGTTTGGAAAAAAACAATATAAACATTCTGAAAGATAAATATGTTGGAATCACATACTAAATTTTTAATAAATGTATAGAGATGTTAGAAAACACTCGTATATTTTTTATGAAAGATTTAAATTTATTAAAGAATTTTTTACAAACTTTTATCTACAAATTTTGAATATTTACTAACCATATAGAAATCATTTCAATTTATGGAAAACAACTTTAAACAATTAAACGCTTAGAAATGTTACTATAAATAGGTTGGAAGGATATACTACTCATTTATGAAATTTTTCGAGATGTAAAATTTTGTTCCTTTAAATTTAGAAAATATTTACTCATTTATATGCATTATTTAAAAAAAACAATTTAACACATTTTTAGAAATAGTTTTCATATTAAGAAAATCGTTTAAACATTTAGAAATGTGAGTACAGTAAAACCTCTATAAATTAATAATATTGAAACTTGAAAATTTTATTAATATATAGAGGTATTAGTTATATTTATAGAGATATGTTCAGTTCAAATTCTTAATATTTATTAAGAGATAAAAAAAAATCTTTCAATTATGTAAAATATTCATTTTATATATAAATAAATTTCAAAAATAAATCTAGAAATATTTATAAACCATAATTTTACATAAGAGTTAAAAAAAACTTATTATCTCACCAAAATTTGTCAATTTTTACACAATTTTACACTGGCCCGATTTATGATTTGCAAAATTTATTAAATTATATTAATTATTAATTTATTAAATATTAACTTATATAGATTATTTTGTATTTAAAAAATTATATCTAAGAGGGAATTCATAAATACTTAAATTAGAAAACATTTACCAAAATTTGAATTTAATGAGGGGTTTTCAGAAATAGTTTAACATGCTAAAAACAAATGTGGAAATCTTTAATTTATTTTTAACTAAGAAATAAATTTATTTATTATCAGTTTTTAGTTTTTTAATGTGAAAATTTTAATTATTTTTTATTAGAAAATAAAATTAGTGATGCTAATTTTTATTTCTGATAATTTATCCATGAAATTGCTTAGTAATTGATTTCAAGTAACTCATTATACAAATACTTTTAAATGTTATTTAGTTTCATATACGACTAGATTGTAATGATGTATTTAAAATATTTTAATTGTACAACACTAACCTTAATCACCTAAATATTATTTAGAAATATAAGATCTAATGAAATTAGTTTATTCTTTTGGACCAAACTGAAATGAAATTAGTTTATTTCTAATTATTAATTAACTAACAGCATATTTTTTTTAAACAATATATATATATAACAGCGTATGTTGTATTTAAACTATACTAAAACCCAATAACTAAATAATAATTTTCCTAAAACATCATTAAAAAAAATCATTTTAAGGATGATTATAACGCAAGAATATGCAAAGATGAAAGTTCTTTTTTTTGCGAAAGCCAGATGAAAATTCTTTTACCAGGAACATGAATGGCAGAAGCATGATACTTGCGGAACTCATCACGACCTTCTTCGTTATGAACACCAACTGCTATACCAAACCTAAACCCTCGAGGATAGCCACCGATAAATCCCTTTGGGAACACCACCAGCTCTGATCCATTGTTCGCCGCTTCTGCAATCAATTTCTCCGCCTTTTCTGCAAAATCAAGAAAACTATTTGATAAATTTGACAAAGCCTAGATCCAGGCTGTTCATTTAGGTGAGCTTGCTTGAAATTTGAAGTTTGCTCATCAAATACAAGAATAGTTTGAGGATAATGTTACCTATGGTTTTGGGAGTATCATTATAGATGGTGGAGGCTTGGACGATGGAAGCTCGAACCGTGGAGGATGAGTAATGGCCATTAACCGTAGAGTTGAGTGTTTGCATTATTTCTGTATCAGAAATGTATCATTTGTACGGCATGACTACCGAGAGTTGAACATTTATAAGTTGAGAGTCAATAATAATAATACTTTTATAGACTTTTATTATACTTTACTATGTAAGATGAAATCAATATCGAATTCTCCACCTCATATACGCCAAAAAAAAAATTAAGACCATATTTGTATTATATAAATAACAAATTAATTTATGAAATAAATTGTTGAGAAGAAGTTATACACAACCGTGGACCAAAAAAATAGTTTAGATTATTTTGTAGTCAATATACAAAATTTTATACAATTTTATATCTAATTATATATTAAAATAGAAACATTAATAGTTAAATTTGTTGATATATCAACACCACAATTTTTCTTATCATTTATTTATTTAATTAATTGTTTTTTATTACTATTTTTATAACTAAATCTTATTTTAAACAACAACTAATCATTTTGTTATAAAAATATATTCAATATCAATAATTAAAAAAGAAATAAATATATATATTAATTTCTATACAATAATATATTATAAATTTCTTAATTTTAAATTAAACATTTTTAAATATAACATAATTAGTAACTAATATAGTTCACAATAATATTATAAGATTTTACACATATTTTAATATGTATTTTTAAAAAAAAAAGAAAAAAAAATATATATATATATATAATTAAACGGAATGATTTTAATCTCGTGTATAGTATAAAGCAATAATCTAGTATATATAAAAAAACTACAGTTATTTCTCAAATTGCTTGGTAAAAGAAAGAAAAATTAGCTTGTGGACAAATATAATGGGATCCAAGGCGCTGGTTTTATGCATGATGCTTTGTTTTTTTTTTGAAAGGGATATGCATGATGCTTTGTTGCCATCTAATAACGTGGAGGCAGCCGCTAGCAACAGGTAATGACTCCGGAAATATTATCATCCGATCAGATTCGTCGATATAACAGATAATACCAAATCACTACAAGAATAAGCTGACATAACTACAATATTAATGTATATTGGGATAATGATTAGAGATAGAGATGTTAAAGGGCCGGCCTACGTCCACACGGACTTGTTCGCGGCGGGCTCCAGTTTTTTGTGTCTGTGCGAGTCGGTCTGCTGTGGATTGCAGACAACTAATCATAAACCCAAGTCCACTCCGTCTTTATTTAACGGACTTGCGGGTTAGCCCACGGGCTATGTTATATTTTTGAAACAATTTAAAAACCTGCAAAACTAATCTTAAAATCTGTAAAAATAAATCGTAAAATCTAGATATATAAGATCAAAAGTTGTTTTACATATTTCAGTGTTATACAAACCTTCAAAGAAGAGATACAAAATTGTAAACATTAAATTGTCCATACAAACAAAATAAAGTGAATTGACAATAATAACATGTGCGTTTCCGCAGAAACCATATATCATAAAACTCTGAAAAATAAGAATTTTTAATTAAATACAAAACTATAAAATGATTTTCGTGATCATTGTTAAACGCCAAAAACTGCATCTTGTAAAAACATAATGTTTGCAAAAAATATCAGAAAAAAAAACCAACACCTAAATAGTACAATTCACTTATTTCTAACTCATACCTACATGCATAAATATATGTATTATTATTTTATTTTTTGAAATCAACTATACATTATAAAAATATATATTACAAAACATATACTTTGTTATTTTCTTGTAACACATAAAAGTCATGTTTCAATTTATTCACAAATATGTGACTAGATATAAATATTGATTGTGCAAAAGTTAAAATAGCATATGAACTTGTCGTACATACATTTTGTTAGCCTCGATTACAATCTAATTTTAATTTTAGTTATTACACAATATATAAAATTTTTTAAAATCTCTATATGTCTTAAGAGCGGTGAGACCAACCATCTACGTGCTCTTAGGATAAGTAAAGATGGTAAAATCCATTTTGATTTAATTAGCAATAGGTTTACTTAAAAAAATATATGTAAGATCATATTATGTAAGGGAAAAAAGAAAGCATAGTATAGATAATATTCAAAACATATTATAAAAATTTAATTATTATTTAATATAACTTTAACATTTGTAATTACATGTTATCGTAAACACGAAAAAAAAAAAGGTTTTTAAAAGACACAAAACGATATGAAACATTTGTGTAACTATTGTTAAATATTTTACCGTATATGCATAAAAACATAATGTTTACATAATTTATAAGAAAATTAATCAATACTTAAATATTACACCTAATTATGTCTATAAAAAACATTATACATGCAAAATGGTATCACATTATTTAAAAGTCCATATGTATGTTCGTCATTATTAATGCAAAATTTATATTATTAAATAATTTATTTATTCTGTATAGTATTAAATTGGCTTTTGAATGTAACAAACATGGATACTGTATGATTTTTCTTTTTAAAACAGTGATAAGGGAAAAACAATTTGACATTTTTTAAAATAATATGATGATTAAAAAATTGTTATATGAATTAATGATGAACAAAAAAGAAATTCATATACGAAATGTTATATGCCTAACTGCAATTTTAAAACACAAGATCCCTACACTAATTTTCAGTAACATTTCAATGAATTATATAATCTGACATATGTGAGAACGCTTTGTGAATGTATGAAGCTGCTTGTAGATATCTGGAGCTTGTTTGGTTGTAGAAAACATGATAATCTCTAAACGGCAGAATCAGTTTTTGAGAAGAAGAGAATTCTCACGAAAGTACCTTAAAAGTATTTTCCTCCATAATCAGATCTTTGATCTCAGCACATTCAAGAAAAATTATTAGACCATGATCACTTAAAAAAATTAAATAGGAAGAAAAATAGTATAACTATGAAATAAATCGACATATATAGGGGGTGTATTGAAACTAAAATTTTAGAGAATTTGAAAAGATTTGAGTTTTAATAAAATTTTAGATGATATTATGTGGATTGAAAAAGTTGATATGATTTAATATTAAAATTATATGAAATCCCACCTAAAACAATGGGATTTGGGTTTCTATATTTTTAACTAACAAATAATCATTTAAAAATACTCAATATTTTTAAAAAATCACTATTTAAGATATTTCTAATAATAGTGGATTTGATTTAATTTTTATAAATTGTTGATTGAATAACATAGATTTTTAAATGACTTTAGTTACTTTACATAAATTTCATATTCAATAACATCAATTTTGGTGAGATATTTAGAAATCATTAATTCAATAACAGAGATTTTTTAGAAAAACCATCAAATCTTCTGAAATTCTTAGTCCAATACATCCCCCATATATATATATATAGGTTACTATCTGCACGTTCGTGCAAGGTAATGTTTGTAAAAATATTTAAAAGATATTCTATAATTTATTATGTTTTGAAAAATATTTGGGTATCTAAAAATGTTCAGTCGAGATTTGAGAAAATTTAGTTATTTTTGTTTTTAATTTAAACTTCTACAAAGCGAGATTTACATTTACTTTCGTCTGAGGTTTCGAAAAATAATTTTTTTTCCGTTTGTATAATATGTGAATCAAAGCTGTTGCAAAACTATTTGAAAAAGTGAGATAATGACACCTAAGCTAATGCTTCTTTTTAATATATGTTAGATATTTTTTTTAAAAACAAAGATTCAATTAAATTTTCTGTCATATTTATTTAAATCTAATTGTTTAAATTATATACAAAAACCCTAAATATTAACAGATTTTAAAACATTAAATGTAATTAAAAAAAATTAGAGAAGTTTTTATTTGATTGCAAGAAAGATTGTGTTTGGTTGCAAGAATAAATTATTTAAATTTTTAACTATTATTGGTATTTAAAAAAAGTTAAAATTCTAAAATAATGATACATAAGCCACTAATGCTTCGTGTTAATACATGTTAGATATTAATCAAAGCAGTTTGTGTATGATTCAAGCAAAAACAATTAGAAAAAACATCCCGAAAATCAACATATATAAAATACTACGCCTAATTGCAATTTTGTCATAACAAAATATTCCTCCACACTGATCTTCAATGACATTGTCGGTGAATGATGATCTGACATTCCTGAGAAGGCTTTGTGAATGTACAAAGCTCCTGAAAGATATCCGAATCTTGGTTTGCTATAGAAAAATCGTTGAAACGGAGAATGAGTTTCTTGAGAAGTACTGAATTCTCAAGAAAATATCTTGCTAACTTCTTCCAGGTTTCTTCCTTTATAAGCAGTTCTTTGATCTCAACACACTCCAGAGTCGATAACAAGCACTGAGATACAGAGGTGAGTTCGGTTTCTCTCGCTCCGTCGAAATAATAGTCCTGCAAACGAAAAAGCTGAGTGTACAGTATATTGTTAACAACATTCTTAAACCAAATTCACATGGTGAAAAAGAATCCTACCAAGATGAGGTCTTTCAGATTCGGGCAGCTCTCAAGAAAGATTGGCAACAAATGTATCATGGAGCTAGAGAACACAGCTTGCAAATGATATAAGTTATCAAATTTTGGAATCCGTTTGGAATATCGAAAGATGATCTGCGAGAAGAAAGAAGAATATACATCATAGAGAACTAAAGTACATTTATTGGTACATATATGCATAACAAAAGTATATATTTACCTCTAGAGTAAGCTGAGAGATGATCATATGTTTTACACTAGAGACACTGATGAGAAAATCAGTGATAATAACTCTTTTCATTGGACCCAAAGGAGAACTATACTCAGTGGCAATGTCGATCATGGCCAAGGAACCGAGGTTCTTCAGCACAATCTTATCAGATCGATAATCTTTAAGTTTCATATACTTGAGTTGTGGAGCATCAATCTCAATCGCAAAATATGAACTTCTGCCTTCATTCTCGAATGTGAAACGAATGGTTTTTAGAGTCTGAGACCTCACACGAAGACAAAACTCAATTCCGAGATAATAACCATTAGAATGACAAATGAAGGTGAGATCCTCAAGAACAGGACAGCCTGAAACGAATTTCTCCATGAAAAAGGGATTAGTATCGTACCATATGTCTTTTAAATGCATAATCTTGAGACAAGGTAGAGAAACAAGAAACCCTGGATCCTTAAGCCCAACATGTGTAAGCTTTAAAGACACCAACGTCTTGCTCTTGTAAATGTTGCGAGGCATATTAGTATATCTCTGGAACGTAATATCCAAATGTTGAATTCCGCGATCAATCCATATACCGATCTACTCGCCCATTCGATAGCTACTGATGTTGTAGTCATCATGCTTTATCTTGAGCGTTTGCATTCGTGATTTGTGACTAAACTCCAGAAGTTTGTCCGTGAACTTTTCGAAGACGTCGCGTGAATGAGGGAAATCACTGGCTTTTAAGTCAAGTCGAGGAACCAGAAGCCAGAAAAACTGCCATCTCTTGGATAAAACGCTTGTCTTAACGGAATCTCTGGTCGGAAGGTTTAAGAGTATCTGAGATATTAAACAATCCGGCAATTCGCTGATTCTGTCGCAACCCATCATGAGAATCGAAACCCTATATGTCTCAAACACAACAACATCATCAGATCATATGCGCATATTTATCCTAAAATCTAGGGTTTTAGTCGGTCATAAACGGGTCATGGATCGGGTCAAGAATTTGGTTTTACTTGTGGCCGAACTCGGCCCGTTAAGAGCTGACCAAGGATTGCTTGTGAAGTACGTAATCATACCTTGTTCTCATAGGATCGATGCTTATGAAGGCGAGATTGGTGTAAAGAAGAGGAACACATTGTTTGTTTCTTCATGGGAAACCGTTACTGCAAAGATGTAAGATTTTAATGTCTCTAAAGTTCTTGAGCTTGAAACCGTTACGGTTGTGGAGGTCGCACATGTCCATTTTGTAAGGACGTGAATTGGCAACCAGAGCTTTAGCAAGAACTTGAAAGGCTTCGGTGTGAAGATCGAATGATACATCTTTGGTTTCTTCGCACACCGTAAACCAATGAAGCAACCCATCTTTCTACATATGATCGGGGCAAGCAACAACGCGATAATTAAGGAGAAGCCCGAGTGACATACCTCCAAGCGTTGGTGCTAAAGTCGAAAACTTCGCATGTAGTAGCGTTTTCTCGATCGGCCTACTTCTAAAGAGTTGTATAACCAAACGGGCTTGTACGTGCCCGTGCTTTTGTCTTTACCGAATCCAACCCTAAAGAGTTGTCCAAGATTGTAGTAAATGTCTCCTAAACCGAGACCTATACCATCTAGTAGTAGGGTTGACCACAAAACCGGATTTGTGGGGATTGTAGAGACAAACGAGGCCGTCCCAGCTATTGTAAGAGACTAAGTACTCTGTGTTCTCATTCTCCCAAGGAGTAGGGATCTTGAAACATGTGATGAGCTCAACACAAGTGTTGTTAGAGATTCTATGTCTAGGTCAATAACATTCTTGTGTAATTATTGCAGAGTTTATAGGCTTGTTTATAATGTAAAATGTAATCTGACAAATAATGAGGAAACCCTTCAAGGAAAAATAGGAAAACTCAACACTTTACTTTTCTTAAAGCGCACGCTAACTCTTCTTCATAAAAAAAATCTTTGGGCTCAGAACCCTAATATGATTTAAACCGACAGTCAGGATCTTGTATTCGATGTAGTTGTTTTTTTGCTTTATGAATAATAATCAACAATCTTTTACTTAAGTGAACTCTTTGCCTCTTTGCTCATGAGATTAACCCGATTACACAAGACTTTTCGAAAACATGAATCAAAGCACACACAGTTTCTTTCTATACTACAATCACCCCAAAAGAAACAAAAGAAATTCAACTTTCAACCCCTACCTTCCTCCGATTTCCCCGATCACCATAGTAGCTTACAAAACGAGAATATTATGTAATTTACATATTCTTCTACTACAATAATCTTACTTTTCATAAATTAGACGTTTTAGACCCATTCTAAAAAAAAAAAAGCACCCTAAGAAAGAGAGATATTACAAATTTGTCCCATTAGTTTCCATTTCGTACTGACTTAACCCAAGACTATACCTTAATTCAACATTTATGTCTCCTATCAGAAGCAATGGAAAGAAGCGTGGAAACACCTTGTGTCCAAAGATCATACTCCCTTTGGCTTTTGCACTCGAATTCAATCACTCTTTTCTCCGCCGTTTTAAGGCCAAAGTACCTCAAATTCTCTCCGCCCTCGAGCAATTCGCGGCCAGGCCACGCTGGTAAAGCCTTGACCAATTCCACCACCACATCTATATACATCAATACATCACAAATTCAGTAAACAAATTTTTGTTTGCTATAGACCAAAATTACGACTATTCTCCAAAACACATGTCTAATAGACTTATCATAAGACACTACCATTACTTTGTTTTTCCAAGATTTATTAAAAGACGGAAAAGAAGAAAGAAAGAAAAAGATTGGTGTTCTAAGCTGATTAGCTAATCGTTTCGTGAAAGTTTGGATCGTTCTTTTACTTTACGATCTAACAGTCTCTTAAAACTTCAAAAACTATTCCAAAGTTAGTACCTTTTTGACCTTTTGATCCATAGGGTTCGCATAAAAAAACAATGATAGAGTAAGAGATAAGCAAAGCATCACGATTTCACTCACACTTTTTCTTCTTTGTAATGGTCCCAGCAACAAGTTTGCTTTTCATCTTCAACATTACCTGCACAGTAAAGAAAAAATGCACATAAAAATAATGAAAAAATGTAATTCAGTCTCCACATTATTTATTTGTAACTAAGTATGATTTTAAATCTTTCTTTTTACCTGCTTTGATGTATTTATGTATACCGAAACAACTTTCCAATGAAGATCGCCTGAGAAAATATGAAACGAGTGTTACATACCATTGCATGTATCCAAGAACTACGTAAACTGTAACGATTTAAAGACATTAACCAACCTTCGCGGGTGCGTTTAAGCAATTCACAACCTTTAGCTAGCAATTCTCTACTACAAACACCAAGAAAATTATCTTCCGGTGTTAAATCGCCTCCGTAACCGCCGCCTACACCACCTTTTGGTATTCCCTTCTCCATCGGAATCACTGCCGCAATGTTCCATACCTCCTTCAATGCCCTCGCCTTCAACGTCGCAGCTCCTCTCAACGCTAAGCACATTAAAAGAAAAAAAAAATAAGTGTTAACCAAGAATCATGCTACGCACATTCAGTATGTGAGTTTAGGTCCGAATTCTAATTACTAATCTGGAGTTCAACTAAACTTGAGGTTAATTGGAAAAAATAAGACCTAATACTGTAATACACTTTTGCATGGTTAATAATTGAAAGTTTTAAAAATCTTGGTTCTTGGAGATCAAATGTTTACTATTTATGGAGGAGTGATTTGACACAATCTAAAGATTAGAGGACCATGCTCCAATATTTCTGTAGGTGACAATTATTTTTTTGTTTACGATTAACAAAATTGCTATGACGTGAGAAATATACCTGTGGCCGCGGCGGCGGTCAAAGTCATGATATCTCCGGCGGAACGAACGTTGACCGCAGAACTAACAACGGAGGCCAAGTGCTCGCGATCAGCTCCCATAATCTCCGCGGCTTCCACACATTGAGCCGCCACTAAAGTTGCGGCTGAAGCCACCGCTGAGTCAGTTTTAGCCACTTGCTCGTCGTTTCCAGAACTTGACTGAGAGGCGGTGGCTACAGCGATCGCAGCCACTGCGGCGGCCACGCCGGCTACAGATACAGCCGCGTGGAGTTGTGCGTTTTGTGCACGTGTCTCCTCTCTTTTCTTCTCCCTCCGGTCCTTCAGCCACCGGCCGACAGTTTTAGATCCTCCGGCGACGCCGGAGACGGCGGATGGACCACGTATGTGACCATTGAAGGATGGGCTTACACGGTAGAATTGCTGGACCAATATTTTAAATATTAATACACTTTAAAACAATACCGGTCCCAAGGCAGATTATAGATCAAAGTTAAAATGAAAATGCAATATGTATATAAAGTATTTTTAATAATAAAAGGCTGTGGAAAATAGACCGTTGTGAACATAGGCCAGCCCATATTTGGGTCCAAAATCATAAATGCTAAACAACTTTTTAAATTGTAAATAGATAAATCAAACGCTTTTTTCAATAACATTTTCCTGCATAATTAAAAAAAAAAAAGATGCAACTAATTTTTATGTGTTTGTAGGAAAAAAAAATGATATGGAAAATAGACCGTTGTGAATATAGGCCAGCCCATATTTGGGTCTAAAATCATAACTACAATATTTTTCCTAAATAAATACAATATCCAACGCGTTATTTTTTAAAAAATGGATAAAGACATTTTTAATAAAATACTGCTTAACTTATAGAGATTGACAGAGAAAATGCTTTGGTCGAAGAGAAAGCCTGAGCCTTGTGTTCCTCCGTTTTTCATACTCTACACTTCTCCTTACACTTTAGCCTTTTTGTTTTGTCAACGTGTTTTATTAATTTACAGTGTAGACCCACATTTTCAATCTGTCTCAAAGATTTAAACCCACCTAATCTTAATTTTGACACTAGCCCCACATTTAACAAATCGGAGTCAGAAGTCAGAACAACCCACTGATTAAGGAATAATTTTTCTTGACAAATAAAACCCTTGCAAGTTTAAAAAAAAAAAAAAAACCTTGTATCCATTAGATTTTGGATTCCGGTTTAGTGTTTCTACAACCGGTTCAAGAATTTAACTAACCTTAAAGTCGTCGATGTCGCAGGGAGAGATTGGAGGGCTATCGGTGAAGGAGCTGTGTGAAAGTCTCCCTGAGGTCCGTGGCGATGAAATCTCCGGCTGTTATAAAAAAAACAAATTTTAAAGATCTATAATAATAAAAATCAATTTTTTAAAAATGGTGAAATAAAATGTAATAGAAGTTTATTACTCCATGCTAGTAAGATTATGGATAGTTATAAATAATATTACCTCTTTTTCATAATAAGTGTTATTGGGAGAAAATGTATCTGCATTGTAATTAGATGTATCTAGATATGTTTTGAGTTTAATACATTTAGATACATTGCCGATACATTTTTTCCAAATGTCACTTATGAAACAAAAGGAGTAGTAATGATTCACGTGAGAATATTTTATTAGTTGTTAGTAAAATTTACAGAATTCTCACTCGAAAAATAAATAACTTAAGAGAATGAATATTTCTTCTGAAATACGATGTCGTTTGTGAGTGAAGTTACTTACAGACTGAGCCATGATACGTTCCATGACCATTAAAGAAGTTTCAGAGGAAGCGAAAGAGAAAGTGTTTCCTGAAACGACGCCGTTCTCTTCATCTTCCGGCACCAAAGTGACGTCAGAAACGCTCTGGATCTCCGAGAAACGCATTTGCGGCGGTTGAGAAGTCGGAGACACGACGACGGCTCTGGAAACTTCAGTTGCGGAAGCGCTCCACGTGCGTGACAAAAACTCCATAGAATCTAACGGCGTTTCAGGCGGTTTAAACGCCGGATTAAACCTCCATTGTTCTCCAAACGTTTTGCTTTTATCCATTTCTAGAGAGAGAGAGAGATAGAGAATGAGGAAGTTATGTGAAGCTTTCGTGGTATTTAAAAGCGGACACGAGATATTTGATTAAGCGGTTGAGGTACAGTTTTTTTTAGCTGGCTTAATCGTACGGTTGGATTTGATAGTTGTGATAAAGTAACACGTGGCTTTATCTTAATGGATGATGTTAGCTTCTTAGGTTCACTCCTACTATAGTGCTACTTCTCTGGCGGTTCTCGATTAACTCCAAGTTTGGCTTAAAGAGGAAAATAAATTATTGAATGCATTGCTAATTAATTTTAAACTAATGTCCAAGGAACAATAAAAGAAAAAAAAATCGTAAATTTATATGGTACACATATAACTTATCTGTTAATTGTATTATTATTTATTTATGATTAAAATGTTTTGGATCGAGATCTACGTCTCTCCAAATCTATAATCAGAGTGTAATATGATTTTTCATCACAAATATCATTTGACCCTACAATTTGTACGTTTTTCTTTTATAATTTTATTATTCAAGTTAACGACACTTGATGTGAAAAATATCATTTATATTTGTTCTTCAAAACATATTTTTTATGTTTGTGGATTCTCATAAATCTAAATATATTATCAAAAGATGAATCCGGATTTAAAGAAAATACAGTAAAAAGCTCAAATAATAATGTGACGACCTCTAAACTTGATTTGAACAAATTTCGAGCCGATTATATGGACCTGAAACTCGTGATATTAGAAGAAGAAAAAACTCGTGATAAAGATTTAAACATAAAAATATATAGTGGGGAAGTGGAATAACAAAATAATGTGCACGTGGAGGCGTGACTGGGCAACGTCATGATATGGAACCACAAATGTAATGTTTGCAAGGTTTTGTCCGTGACAAGTCAGAACACTCTTCACCACCCTTCTCCTTTCAGCTTTTTGTCTCTTCTTTATTTTTCGTTTATATGAATAATATTTCAAACTCTTTCACTCGATTTCACTCTAATATATTCATAATTTAAGCGCACACCTAAACCGTTTCAGACCTCTGTTGTTAATAACAATGTTCAGAATCTTGTTATATGGGACAACCCCAACATTTTTTCTCGTGGAATTGACTAAGTAGTATCGCGATGTTCTTTCTTTTGATTTCTTTGAAGAATAAACACTGTCTTGGCCTTGAAGAAAGATGAAATAAATATTTGTTTCTAAGAAAATATGTCATACTCTAACCAAAAAAAGAAAGATAAGTTATTAAATGTGGACAAACCATGAGAATGTTTGCAGCCGAAGGTTACTAAACCCAACTAAAGCTCTTTAGCCCTTTTCTGCACGCGAGTTCACATTCAAGTTTCAACACATAGGTGTCTATCACAATTTTTAATCAACCGATCGAAAAGTACTTAATATATAACTATTTAAATCGATGCGAAGGTTCAAAAATTAAAATCATGAATTTTAATCAACTCATCTCGAGTTTTTTGATAAAATTTTAACTAACCTATTACAGTTATGTTTTAGTGTAGAAGATAACAGAGGATTTATCTGTGATTTAAACTTTCTATTGTATCGAAAATCATAAGTGCTTAAACATTGATATATAAAGAGCAATTTGATTTATTTTGCTCATAAGAAAACTTGAATTTTTTTTTTGATAAAAAGAAAACTTGAATTATATATGCGAACTAGATCGTGTGATTAGAATACAAAAAAAATGTCTTTCAAGCAATGCAAATGACATGTAGTCCGGAAAATTCATAGATCAAGGTGACGATTATTTGATGGAAGTGAAATTTATAGGTAACGTTGATAGATACAAGTGAAAATGCTTGAGAGATAATTGACTGTTAGTTTGGTTTGATATTATAACAAAGGTGACATTTGCCAAACAAGTAACAAATAAGCATCAATAATGAATACCGACCCCAAAATCAGTACCAAGTTATCTAACTTATTTGTTGTTATTTTTGTAAGCGTTACGCATATAACATGTTCCCTTCATTTGAGGTAATGAGATAATAGAAAAGACAGAGAAGGTGTCGATGTACGAGGGTGTTGTTAGATATCCTTGTCATCATCAATTTTTCATTTAAACAAAATACTATACATTATTTATATATAAATATAATAAAAATATTGATTTAATATATATATATATATTTATAGGCTATGATTAGTAATCGGGTAATTCCATAATTTTAAAAGATCTCAATCACTCTTTTAAAATTTTAGTTAATTTATAGTGATGCTATGTTTCCCATCACTACCTTGGATCCTTTTGGATCTTGCCAAATCTAAGAGAAGTTAATAGTGACAAGCTAGTGATGTGGAGATGTCTAAAAGAAAGTCTCTACATGGGCATAGGACATCTATACAGATTAATAGATCGTAGGTAATTTGCATTCTTCGCCGTTAAGCAATTAAGGCTCTAAAATCCATTAGAGAAGGCTTAAATAAAGCCTAATAAGGTAAAATAAAGGCACATAATTGATTAGTTCCACTTCCATGGAACATGAATGGGTCGGTCCATTGGACAAAATCAAGAGCCACATTTAGAACCAATTCAAATACTTGACATTTTTGTTCACATGCTTGACTCATTTTCCTCCCAAACCGGCTCTGGTCACATAAATTCATTTTCTCATTCAACCCAAAAAAGATAATTGGAAATTAAAATACCATGAAAATTTCTTTTTTTATACTGTGCTCAGGAGGATAACGAGGTAATAATCGGTGATGATGAGTTTACACGAGATCAAGTCGGAGACAAACATTAGAGTTTAGACACATGAATCATGACAAAGTCAAAAGGTTGACTTTTGTTGAAATTGTTTCTAACTAACTCAGATTTATCAACTCAAGAGTGTTATTTTATCCTCATATGAGTTACTACTATAACCATATTAAAGCATAACATATTAAATGCCATAATCATGGTTTATATATAAAATTAAGTAGATTCTGATAAGTTTTAACACACAATTCCTCGTATTATATTTAAAGTTATAAAAAAATTCAACTAATATAAAAAATAGAGTATAAAATATAAGAGTCAATTTTTACTTAATTGAATTATATTATATAGTTTTTTAATTTGCACGTTCTTTTATGCAAAAATTACTAAATTTTTGTATTTTTCTAATTTTATCGAATGATTCAGGGTCTGTTCGTTTGCCTGCCGCAGGAGGCTGCGACTGCGACTGGCGATTAAATCTTGTTCGTTTACCTGACGCGTCTTACTGCGACCAATCGCTGCGACCAGACGCTGCGTCCTGTGATCGACTTTTTTGAACGTGGATGAAATTCAGCGTTGCGACTCAGAAATTACGATTAAATCTGTAAATGACAAAAATAATTTTAGTGTTGTTATTAAATTACAAAAATACCATCTTTTACCCTAAATCACTCATCGATTTCAGAATGATAGATCTTCGTCTGACGTTTGTAAATTTCTTCTCTTTGCTTTTCTAGAGTTTTAATTTTTCCATTTATGCTTGGATCTCTTTCTCTCTTCTCTCGTTTTCTTTTGGTTTTGATTTTATGCTTCAATTATTCTATCTCTCGATTTGCTTTGTTCATTGATTCTCTTATTTCAAACGTGTGTGCACAGCCTCGACTTTGTCCTTTCTCTTTAGTATGTGAAAATTTTGTATTGATTGATTCATCTAGCTCTTTGGCTAATCTACGTTTCATACTTTGAACCTCCGCCGCAACATTAACCAAACAAACAAAAATTAAGGAAACGTTGTTATTAATCGCCCGTTTAATAAACGAATAAACTTGCGGCTAAACGCTACGGCTAAACGCGCGACCAACAAACGAACAACAATTGTTGCGTTTAAACGCAGCGTGTGGTTGCAGGATTATGGTCGCAATTGCAGGCGGCAAGCAAACGAACAGGACTTCAGTGAAACAAAGTTAATAAAATAGTTTGGACTATTACTTAATCTGTAATTTAAGTATATGTTACAAATTAGTAAATTATACGTGAAAAATATCAAAGATTAATCTTAAAGAACTTTCTCTCTTGTTTATTTACAGAGATAATTACAGAAATATAGAATACAAGATGAGTATCAGACTTTCCTAAACTATAACAATTTACATCATAATGATGATGACATGAAATACGCTTTTAGCATAACTCATGGGATATAATTCATATCAAATTGATATCCCATTACCCCCTCTCAAACTGGAGCATGCAAGTTAAGAATGCCCAGTTTGTGTCGGAAATCTTCATAAGCTGCCTTTCCAAGCGGTTTGGTAAATATATCTGCTAATTGTTGAGTTGTAGAGACATGATGAAGTGATATATTACCTGATTGTATCTCATCACGAACTGAGTGGCAATCAATCTCGATGTATTTCGTACGTTCATGGAAGACATAATTGGTACTGATATGTATCGCTGCCTTACTGTCACAATAAACACGCATTGGTTGAGGATGTGCCACACCAAGTGATAATAGAAGCTTCTTTATCCAAATAAGTTAGAAGCTTCTTTATCCAAATAAGTTCGTCGCAGAGAAAGGACAGTGCTCGGTATTCTGCCTCAGCCGAAGATTTGCTTATCGTAGGCTGTTTTTTCGTTTTCCACGTGATTGGTGATTGACCAAGCTGAACAAAGTAGCCTGTTACTGAACGACGAGTAAGCGGACAACTGGCCCAGTCAGAGTCACACCATCCTGAAATCTGGAAGTCTTTCTCCGAGCTTAAGAGAACACCTTGACCTGGTGTTTTTTAAGATATCGAACTATACGCAGAGCCGCATCCCAGTGATCTACTCTGGGTGTTTGCATAAACTGAGCCAGTATGTGAACCGAAAATGTTAAATCTGGGCAAGTTGCTGCCAAGTAGATGAACCTGCCAATCAAACGTCTATAGGGTACGAGATCAGTCAAAATCGCTGAATTAGACATAGCTAATTTTTGGTTCTGCTCCAATGGAAATGTTGCTGGCTTAGCTCCCAGTAAACCAGTTTCTGAGATAATATCTAAGGCGTATTTGCGTTGGCTTAGATAAAATCCTGTTTTACTCCTAGACATTTCGATA